GTGGGCTTGACACAGCTAAACATGTTCCCATAGATCCAACCATACCCAATGACATAAAGAGACGCTAAAAACTCAAACAAATTGTCAAAACGAACAACAAATATGAACACAAGAAAACAAATTAAATGACAAACAAATAAAAATTACTAGGAAAACTTTCCCGGACTCTAGCACCTCGTACAACCCATGGTGGTGGTTCAGGCGGAGGTCGGACCGTCGCTCGATTGTGTAACGACCGTCCCCAAACGGCCATTACGATACTCAACATTAGCAAGACTCAATATACAAAGCGGAGAATAAAGAAACAAAGTCTCGTCATGAAACTTTATTTCGTATATACATAAGCAAACTTCATAACGAAAATGTCAAGCGACGAACAACAATACCCTTAAAAACAAGTTTATCACACCTGATCAGGATTTTTAAAACAAAACATCAAACAACCCATAAAAGTGTCACAGTACAAAAATAAAACATGAGACACAACCAGGTCTTCTCCATTAACCCATCCACGGCCTTGCCACCCGCCCTGGACATTCTTGCAGGCTTCCATTCTTCATTCATTACCTATACATGAGAACACGAGAAAATAGAAGTCTCGTAAGCAAAATTTGCTTAGTAAGTCACCATTTCATCCACTAAAATGACGGAGTCTTAGCTAGACATAAATAGATACATCAGCTAGAATACTCAATTCACATAACATATTCACATACAAACTCATATCATACATAACACAACTTCAGGTAACAAAACCTAAGAGATTTCCTTATTCATCATTCTTTCTTCTTATCTTATTCCTTGACTTTATGGGCTCGTAGCTCGTGTCCTGGCCCCTCGCTGATGACCTCGGGTAGCTAGCCCTCAACCATCAGAAGCAACCCCGGGACTCCCCGCGGAAGGAGATCTCGCTACGCTCAGCTCAGGTAGTTACTTGGGGGCACGACTACCTTTGTAACATTACTTATCTTTCATTTCATATCATTATCAACATAACTTCGTTTCATCGTTGGTTCTATATGGACCCAATTACAATCAAAATAAGCATGAACACCTTGCCTTTACTATTCCAATATTTTACCATTAACTCCACCTGTCAATGCCTCCATATCATTTGGAATTCACGAAACATCATGTCATACGTGTTTAAGTATCAAAGCAAATAGTCCACATATCATCATATCATACAAGTTCAAGTATTCAAGCAAACATATCCAACTCATAATTAGCTAGACTTCCACGCTTTATTTAGAACTATCATGTATAGGTGGTGTGATGACTTACCTGATTCACGCGGAGTAATTACCCGGTGTGTGTGTGTAGAGCGTCCACGAGCAACGGTTCTTCGATGAGCAACTATGATTATACTTGATCAACTTAATTTCATACTCTTATACACATCTTAAAGCTTGGGAACAAGAGAAACTTCAACAAAACCCAGCCCTCAAACATGATAAAATTCTGAAATTCCTACATTCCAAACGGTCAAATCCTCCGGTAGCTTGATAACCAAAACTCGGTTGTACCTTACACCCAAGAATCAACAACAAATAACCCATAACCATGCTATTAAGGGTTCTATGTATCTATTTAAAATCAGTCCATAACTAGGAACAAGTTTTCCCCAATTTCTTTCATCAATTTGGTGTCAATTCCGGGCTAACTAATTATTCAAGAATAAATTGAAGTTTGTTAAATTCCAACTAAACAAAAACTTCACAATCATCTTACTATCAAGAAAAATCCATTAAGTTTCTAAGAATCCACACAAAATCAATTAACCCTAGCTTAACCCAAAAACAAGAACCTTAGATCAAATTAGGGAAGAAATTCTTTATGTATTGTATAAATCTTACGAAGTGATGATCTTTGATGAAGGATGTTTAATTTGGCCTTGAATCACTTTAGGAAGGTCTTAGGGTAGGTATATAGAGAGAAGAGCGAGCTGGAATCGATTTTGGGTCAAAAAAGAGGTTTTTGAGCTTAAAAACGGTTTTTTGACCGACCTGCCAAAACTGACTGGACCGGCGCCGGTTGTGATGTGTTTTTGACGCCTTAGACATTCTGTTTTGGACCGGCACTGGTTTGAGGCCAATCGGGTGCCGAAAACACCCAAAAATGCTCTTTTTTCGCCCTAAACCGACCCCGAATGTTGCCATTCACCCGATGACATTTTAAACTACATTTCAACACCCAAATACTATCCAACATGACAACTAACTTAATACCATTTCATCCGGAATAAAAATGATCATTACGGTGTAGTTTCGTTGCTCATCGGATACTGTCGCCTGTCATATTCAAACATGATACAAGCATGTAAGTTCAAATATATATATCACAAAGTATATAATCACACAATATCCCTAACTTACATGTATAATACACAAAATTATTACTTATGGCATGATTATATTGATTAATTAAACACATAAAGAGTAGATAAGAAGTACAGGCGTTACACTTTGACACCCTCTTTCAGTGGCGTACCCGCCATATGACCCAAATCCATGCCATCGAATGGAACTTTCAGCCTCTCCACGCTAACCAAGTCCCGATCATCCCTACGTCTCTCTTTCGCTTCTTCCACCATCTTCTCGCTGCCACGATCATCCATCCCGAACTACGTCCAAACCACGACAATCCGGCGCAGTGCTGCGTCGATTGAAACAAATGCCGCACCAGGGCGGCGAAGTAAAAACCCTACGCGGGAGATCTCGCTAGGGAAACACTGACCGAACTTCGATCAAGAAAGATCGAAATCGGAAATTACCTAGCGGCCCACAGGTAGGTCATTTTTATAACATTTAGCATTACAAATCACATTTAGCTTAATCACATTTTTATAAACAATTTTCATTGTAGTCATACATATGTAATTGTTCCAAACATTTAGCATTACAAATCACTTAGTTTAAAAAGTCAACAAACTGGAGTGATTCAAAAATAGTACACATTAATTTTCATTTATGTTATTAGTAAGTGCATTAGTACACAAAAATAGTACATTAATTATTTATTTATGTATTTATTTATTATTTTTACAAAACAATTTATAAAATGAGGCCCCTTTGGAATTGGAGGCCCTAGGCAATTGCCTAGGACAACTCCCACCAATATGATTCTTCAAGATATTCTTCTTTGAAGGACATACGAATATGATTCTTTTTTCGTGGAGCTAGCAAAAAGTGCCAATAGAGCAAAATTTAGAACATTAATGATGAATAAGAAATACTTCGTACTTCTTAAGTTCTTATTTCTCCCTTGAAAATAAGAAGTTTGAAAAAGGTGTGAGAAAGCTTTATCTTCATTGGGCTTGCCATCTTTCCCATCTCCCCGCTCGATCTCCTACTATTGACACTGATTCCTTCTATCTTCTCCTTATCTCTCCTTTATTTCACCAAATGTGAATATATTTTGTATATGCCACCTCCTTAGCCAAAACTCCTTTGTTAGTGTTGCTTCCAAAAAAGTTCTTCTGCTCAAGAAGCTCTAAATATTCCGCCTTCATTTTCCCGAGTTCAGACAAAATAAATTCATCCGCTCTCCTTCCGCTCTCCTTCGAAGAAATTGAAGTCTATTCTTACAAAATTCAATTCTTCCACCCACGCCCTTAAGCTTCGTCTTCCCCTGCATACCAACTTCTTCCCAGCACAACTCAAACGGCCTCACTAACCTAAGACCTCTCCATAAGCCCCAACTCCTAACAACTACCTCTGATCCTTAAATTCCTCATCCTGAACTCATAAATTTTCGAATATAAATTGTCAACTTCTTTCGCAACCGACCTCCCGATGTAGTTTTATAAAAGCGCTAAGTGATAGCTAGGATCGGATTCACCGACCTCCATAGAAACTCCATTCGCTCTTGTTGATTGAGCTTCCCCACGAGATGAAATAAGTATATCCAATTTTTCTACAACCCAACTTGGGGTACCGGTATGTCTCTCCCAAGTTAATTGATGACCACCAAAAGAAATGTTCATCAACTTGCTAACTCATTCCGCTTCCCGAAAACCTTGTAGTAACCATAGTGAATTAGTGGGTGTGGGCGTAGCTCAAGTGGTAGCGAAGGAGTGCCACAAATGTCTCGGGTTCGAATCCCGGCAACTGCGATGAGGGGTTACTATGCTGAAAATGCATAGGGCCTCTGCAAGTACCGGGGACAGAGCCCCACTCTCTATCTATAATTTTGTGATTATAGTCCAATTTACATCCTCCCATCGTGCCGTCCGGTCGGTGTGGGGGCCCTCAGGGATGGGGTGTCATCCTCCTCTCTCTCTCTCTCTCTCTCCCTCCCTCCCTCCCTCCCGCCCCGCATGTAGCTATGTTAAAAATAAATAATAAAAAATGGATGAATATTGGTGTCATGGAGGAGGTCACGGGTTCGAAACTCATCGTAGTCAAGAATGTTGACATTTAACTTTGAACGAATACTATTAGGGTTGGGCACTGTCCGGATAGCCTGGGTTCATTCCAAAATTTGAAGAACCGCCAGTTTTTTTAATTAATTTTGAGCGCGTAGGACCGGGCCGGGTACATCTACAAATATAATAGGAAATAGACCTAACTCGCCCTGTTTGAACAAGTCCGTTCGGTTTGCGTTTTTCGGTTCCTTTACATATATGAAAATTAATTAAATAATTTATTATAAGGAGTATCAGTTATCCTAGTACCATAAAAACATCAACAATAGCTCTCAAGTTCAAACTATAAAAGCATTATCAATATAGCTAATTGAAATAGCTAGACATTTTTAGTTGAAATTGTGTGGACATAATCTACACTTCATGTAAAACATACTAGTAAGATTTCATACATCAAACAATTCCACCCGCAAACACCTCAAATTGAGGTGACCGAACGGCTCTCCGGTCAAGAAATTTCTCACGGAAATCGGAATATTTATGTGAATATATAGACACGTTCAGAAATAAGAATCAATGTTTGCATCATATAAGAATGAACTAGATCTCAAGGTTTCCTATACTAGGTGTAAGGATCGTATATCCGTCTCCGGCTCAGGTCTTTCAACACACACTCTCACACACCACACTAAGAGGAGGCTATAGCACACAACTCTCTACTCTCCACAAAGGACCTCTCTACACTCTCACACAAAGGAAAGGAAGAAGAAGGGAGCACTGCTCTCTCTGGAATGCTTTCTGCGCAGGCTGCTCAACAAGGGAAGAAGCAGAGGATACAAATAGGCTGCCAAAGTGTGTCACGGGTGAGGTTTGACAAAAAACACTCACATGCAACTTAGACAAAGGAGTGTCACATGTATAGGCCAAGACAAAGATGGATGCAGCGGACAGAACACAAAGGGGCCAGCCAAGTGGGTAAGTCAACCACTTAAAATAGGTATATATTTGATCAGGATATATACCACAGTAAAGATATCCAAGAGAGAGTAAAATAGAGTGTGCAAGCCTCAACAAATAAAGTGGAAGGGAGGCCTTGGTAGGACCAATACCTCCAACATTCTCCACCTTATTGGTCCTAGGTGGTGTAGAGTAACAATACAAAGTTGTGATAAGACTCATCATCGCCGGGTCACCCGGAATATCAACAGACACAACGGGCAAACACTTTATTACGCAACCCACAGTTATCCACAATCAAAGTTTAACACGCGTTTACAGGACAAGTGCTTCTCAGCAGAAAGACACTTGGTACCCATATCCGCGGGGTTAAACTCGGACGGGATCTTGCACAGCTTGACTCCACCTGCATCAATAATATCACGTATGAAACGGAACCTAACATCAATATGCTTAGTTCTATCATGAAATACAGGATTTTTGCAAAGTTGGATAGCCGATTGGCTATCCGAGAAAATGGTAACCCCCTTTTTGAGAAACCCAATTTCGGAGACAAGGCGTTTGAGCCAGATGGCTTCCTTAAATGCTTCTGTGGCTGCAACATACTCGGACTCAGTGGTAGAAAGGGCCACAATAGGCTGTAGTTGAGACTTCCAACTAATGCAAGAGCCACACAAAGTAAAAACATAAGAAGTGGTCGACTTCCTGTTATCTCTATCATTTGCATAGTTAGAATCAACATAACCAATCAATTCAATACCACTAGCACATTTAGAGAAAATTAATCCATGCTTCACAGTAGAAATCAGATATCTAAGCAACCACTTAAGAGCATTCCAATGAGGCAAACCAGGGTTGGACATATATCTACTCAAGCAACTAACCGCATATGCAATATCAGGTCTAGTGCTAACCATAAGATACATCACCGACCCTATTGCGCTGGAATAAGGCACAGATTTCATTTTCTCAATTTCAGGAGCAGTCTTGGGAGACTGGTCCTTACTTAACACAAAGTGAGATGCCATAGGGACATTAACAGGAGAAGCAGATAACATATTAAATTTACTCAAAACTTTTTCTATGTAAGAAATCTGATTCAAAGTAAGAGTACGCTTACTCCTATCCCTAACAATGTTTATGCCTAGGATCCTCTTGGCATCACCTAGGTCTTTCATGACAAAATTCGCACAAAGACATTTCTGCACATCTTTAATAGTATTCAGAGAAGGACTAATTATCAGCATGTCATCCACATAGAGTAACAAAAATACAGGCACAGAAGAAATATTTTTGAAATACAGGCAATGATCACAAACAGATTTTTGGAACTTCAAAGATATCATGCATTTATCAAATTTGATGTTCCACTGCCTAGGGGATTGCTTCAGGCCATACAAAGCCTTCCTAAGCAAACAGACATGCTCACTTCTCTTGGGATCCACAAAGCCCTCAGGCTGGGTCATATAAATTGTTTTATCCAATTCACCATGCAAAAATGCAGTAGTTACATCCATCTGTTTCATTTCCCAGTCATGGTGAGCAACTAAAGCAAGCATCATACGAATAGTGGTGAATTTAACAACAGGAGCAAAGATTTCTGCATAATCTACCCCCTCTTTTTGAGTAAACCCCTTCGCAACCAACCTAGCCTTAAACCTAACATCACTAGGTTCTTCCTTAACCTTAAACAACCACTTACACTCAACTACCGAACAGTTGGGGGGTCTAGGTACAAGGGTCCAAGTCTGGTTCACTCTCAAAGAGTCCATCTCACTTTTCATGGCACTAATCCATTTCTGAGACTCTTTGGAACCTAAGGCTTCACGGTAGGTCTTGGGTTCATTCAGCTCTAGGGATTCAAACACAGAAAATGCAAACATAGAAGTATCATGCACAATGAAAGCATAATCAGGCATACTATCAGCAGTTCTCCTGATAGCCCTTCTACTCCTATCTTTAGCAAGTTGATAATCATGCGCAAATTATCACTACTAGGCTCCACATGCAACTCATGCAAATTATTGTTATCATGAAAATCAGATTCAGCACCCATATCATGCAAATCATGCTTAGTATCATGCAAATGCTCCACCTCACTCGAGGTGGTGGGACTAACATGCTCAGAGGAATCAGAATCATGCATAACAATATCATCAGAAATAACAGGATCAACAGATAAAGGACTAGCAGCAACAGGGACAGACTCCACCTCACTAGGAGTATTATCAGACCTAGACTCATGATATTCATGTAATTTCCAATTGTATATTTGTATTTTAACTAGTTTTTATTAGTTCTAGTTGTGAAAATTACACACTTTTGGTGTAATACTTTATTTTTATTTTTTATTTGTAATTTAGTTAGATTAGGATTTTTCTGAGCTAAACAGGTCAAAGATCATCTAAGGGATCAAGATTGGACCTTAAAAGATCAAGGAAAGTGCAAGGAGACAAGAAAGATTTCGATTTGGAAAAAATACTCATGTACCCGGTCGGGTATTGCCTATACCCGATCGGGTAATTGCTTGATTCGACTGTCCAAATCAAATCCGAAGACAAATGATCGTGGGAGCAAATTTTCATAAAGATTTGTCACATACCCGATCGGGTATATACCCTTACCCGATCGGGTATGCCCAGAAAAATCACTTTCTGGGCAATTTCCTGAGATACCCGGTCGGGTATCCTATATACTCGGTCGGGTATCAGACCCTGCAGCTCCCAAAAGCCTATAAATACACCCCTTTCCTTCACAATAAAATCACCAATTCACATATACTCTTTAGCTCAGTTTAGATTAGTGTTTTCTTTATATTTTCTATCATGTTTAGTCTCCAAATGAGGAGCTAAATTCTTCCATCTTGGTTTTGCTACTTTGAAGCTTAATGAATTTGTAAGTTGTGAGTTATTCTCTTTAATCTTCTTCCTTGAATATTAATTCTTCCTTTAAATACTATTTCTATATCAATGTTGGGGAGTGTTACTAAGATGACAATTAGTTAACATCTTGACATTAATTATAGTAATAGCTATTTCTTCCTCTATGTTAATATTGGGGAGTGTTACTAAGATGACAATTAGTTAACATCTTGATATTAACTATAGTAGGATTCATCTTCTTTAATATTCTTCCTTGAATATTAATTAATTCCTATTCATATTTCATATTAATATTTTGAACATTACTTAAAGGATCAACTAGTTTTGTTTCATATATTAATTATTATTAGAATCAATCGGTTAATACGCTTGTTATTAATTCGGTTCTTTCAATGGTAGTAAACTTGGGTTGTTAATGCATGCTTCTCATGGTTAATAAACCAAGGGGAATTAATTATATTGATTAAACCAATAAACCGCTTGTGTTGAGGTTATCAATCTCAATCGTTTTCATCTTGATTTTATTGCTACTATCGAGTGAATATACGGCGCGTGTTCTATATTAACTCGGTAGTAAGTTTTATTAATGAACGCGTCTCGTTATTAATAACTACCCTCGATGAATTGGATATACTCCTCGATTGAGTATTCGAGAGGAAGATAGTTAAAGATATAACCGGGATCGACGAACATTTCATTAAGTGGATAAAAGCAAAACTAAGTCTCCTTCTCATTAATTAAACCACATAACTCGTTCATCTTTGTGTTTTAATATTCTTAAAAGTTCTTCAACAACAAATCTAAAAACCCCCCTTATTACTAGTTATAAAAAGAGAAGTATTCCTTTCCCTGCGGATACGAACCTTACTTCACTATACTACGTATTAGTGTTAGTATTGAATATTATTTTGAGTGCACCTCACGACAAGTGCACGTCAACTCAGGATTAGAAGCAGACTCGGTCAAGCAAGGAAAATCAGTTTCATTAAACACCACATTTCTGCTAAGGACCACTTTAAAGCCTACCTGGTTCCTATCCCATAACCTGTAACCCTTTACCCCCTCTGGATAACCTAGGAAGACACATTTCTTAGACCTAGGATCCAACTTGTCACCCTGTTGGTGTGCATACGCTGCACAACCAAACACCCGAAGGTTAGACAGATCAAGAGGCTTACCGGTAAAGACGGATTCAGGACACTTACCACCAAGAGGGACAGACGGGGACCTATTAACCAAATAGGCAGCAGTAGTGACTGCTTCACCCCAGAATTTCTTAGACAAACCAGAGGTAGCTAACATGCTTCTAACCTTATCCAACAGAGACCTATTCATTCTCTCTGCTATCCCATTCTGTTGGGGAGTATAAGGCACAGTTTTGTGCCTTTTTATCCCACAATCCACACACAGCTTATCCATCTCCTTATTACAAAACTCTAACCCGTTATCGGTCCTAAGGGTTTTAACCTTCCTGCCAGTTTGGTTTTCAACTAGGGTTTTCCACTCCCTAAACCTCACAAACACATCAGACTTGTGTTCTAAAAGGCAAACCCACACCTTCCTAGAGAAATCATCAATGATAGAAAGGAAATATTTCCTACCCCCGTGGGTAGGAACACTGGCAGGACCCCAAACATCGGCATGAACATATTCAAGCACAGACGAACACTTAGACAGATTAGGGTAAGAGGAAGGAGGGAAGCTGACTCTATGCTGCTTGCCTAACACACAAGATTCACAGAAAGGCACAGAAGTCACAGAGTCCTTACCAAAATAACCAGCCCTACGCATGACATCTAAACCCTTATTGCTCATATGTCCTAGCCTATTATGCCACAAAGAGGTCTTATCAGAACATACAACATTCACAGACTCAGCAAAAGGTTCAGCATGGCACACATAAAGGTTATTCACCTTCTCAGCTTTAAACAAAACAAGCGAGTTTTTCAGGATTTTCATACAACCATTCCCCCATTTACCCTGTAACCCACTATTCTCCAAAGCAGCAACAGATAACAAGTTATGACACAAATCAGGGACATGCCTCACATTCTTAATGGTAAACACAGAGCCACAAGAAAACTTCAGACATATATCACCAACACCAAGCACATTGCATCTCTTATTATCAGCTAAGGAAACATAGCCACTATCACATAATTCATAAGTAGAAAACAAATCTCTAAAGGGGGACATGTGATAGGTACAACCAGAGTCAATCAACCATTCATGCTCAGACAGGGAATTTCTCACAGAATTAACATGGTCACAAACCATCAAGATATCACCAAGGTCACATTTATCAACAGCTACACTAGCATGCTCGGTCTTCTTAGGGTGGGGGCAATCTTTAATGAAATGGCCAGCGTTACCACAATTGTAACACACTCTCT